CTGTTATAAAGCTGTACTCTATTTTGAAAAGAAAAAATTAAAAAGTTGAGACGCTCAGCTATTGTACAGACTTTATAATTTCACAGCAATCTGCTTTTGTTTCCAGACCCGGAAAGGTCTACAAAGGAGCCGAACATAAGTGTGCTGTAAAACCAGATTGTGCTTTTAATAGAATCCATTTCCCGGCATGGCACAAGGGTATTGTTCAGAGGAGTTGCAGTACAATCACAGCTTTACAACGGCTTGAAGAAGTTCCCGTGCAGCAGTCAGTGGTTTCCCCGCTACATGCGAGGCAGGCCTGCTGTTAGAAATAATACGGTAGTAGCTGGTCAGGGAGGGACGCGCAGTCACTAGGATGTCTCTTTCACAGTGACGCCGCAGGAGTCAAATAATAAGCACTTGCTAAGGAAATATATTTTAATAACCGCAGTTCTTTTTTTGGGAGCTTTTTAGAAATAATTTCCGGAAAGGTAGATGTGTGCAAGTCTAACAATGACAAAGGCAGATATGTAGGCTTGTGTTTAAAAAAAGTTATGTATGCCCACACCTAAACTGGCCATGTAACAAAACCCCTAATCTATGTCACTTTCTGCAGAAGAAAATGCTGTTTAAAGGGATTCCCTGTCTCTTAACAGGCAGGTGTAAAAATAAAAGAACTAGGACTTGTATCTCGTCTCTTTGTCTTGAGGGTGTTTGAACCTGACGTACTGTAGATCAAAAAGTTCATACTGTGTCCCTATGTTAGATTTCCCATACAGCAAGGAGATCAGGTAGGATTTTGGTAATAGTTATACTCATTGATTCAACCAGTTCCTCATTCCAGTCACATTTCTGTTTGTCAGATCAGCAATGCTTACCAATATGGCAATCCTGAGGTGCTACCCAATTGAATATAAGTTGAACTGATTGTTTAGCTCTTTGCAGATTTATATGGAAATGTTGCTCTGATCAAATCTGCACCAAAATGTGAGAGTAGGTTTCAGAGGGTCTCCAGAAAAGACCCAAACTGACCACCCAAAGAGCTCTTGCATATTAAAATCTTGCCTTCATCTTATGGCCCTGCTTGCTGTGCCTATTGATTGACCTGTAAGGCTTTCTGCACATCAGATTCGGAAGCCTGTTAGGCTTTCTAGGCCAGGGATAGGCAAGCTCCGGCCCTCTAGCTGTAATGTAACTGCAAATACGATTAGGCAATGCAAGACTCTGACAGCCACGTGACTGCCAGAGGCAGGTGCATGATGGAATTTGTAGGTTCACCACAGCTGAAGGCCAATGTTTGCCTACCCCTGTACCAGGCCAAAGCTGAGAGGTGATCTTCCTGGGTGCTTGGTAATATATATTCATGCTTCTGTGGGCACTGGAAGATGCCTGCCTTTCATTCTGACAGCTTAAAGCAACTCAATCTGTTGCTCCTACAAAAGAAAAGCTCTTCTACTCAAATCTGGTGGCCACTGTCTCCTACCTTGCCTCTGTTTACGTGCAGCAGCTTCAATCAGACTTTTTGGCATTTGACACTTCTGGAAGTTTCAGGGGCCTCTGTTCCCCGATGCGTGCTGTGGTTCTACCCTCTTACCACTATGTCACTAGTGAACCCCGTAGCAGCATGGGATTGCTAGGATAAAGCCACAGCACGCAGCAGGGGACACCACTCCCAGAACTGTCAAACGCTAAAGAGACTGATGGAGCCTGCAGCACTGAAACAGAGAAGGTAGGGCACACAGGCCACCAGAGAGAGAAGGGAGTATAAGAGCTCTTTTTATTGCAAGACACTTTCAGCTCAATTTTTTTAAAGTGGCCGGTTTTATAAACTGTTTGAACAGTTCTTCGCTGTGCGATTGAGATTCACAGCTCTGTATGGTCACTAGATGTAGGCGAGGAGCATAGGAATTTCCTGTGCTCCTTGCCTCCATCTAGTGGCCATACAGCACAGCAAATCTCCTTCACACAGCAAATAGCTGTGTGAATGGTTTATAAATTAGGTCCTAGGTGTAAGGATGCGTTTACTTTTCCTTTGTTGTTCTTTTAGCCACTATTTAAAGCCTCATTCACACTTGGATATTTGGGTCTGGCAGCAGATTCTTGTGGCTAGAATCGCAGGTGGTTCTGGAGAGCTGTGGCCATTCATCCTGTACAAAGCAATGATAGGCTGACATAAGCCACTGCTGTTTGTATGCAACCACCAGTTACCTACAGCTAGGGACAGATGTCCGTAGGTAATCCGTGGTAATAGATAACCACTGAATGTACGGATGCATGCAAATAGTAGACAGCAATGGATCGTGTTAACCTGTCATTGCTTTACACAGGCCGAGTAGCCACAGCTCTCCAGAACCACCTGCGATTCCATTTCCAGGGATCTGCTGCCAGACCTTATATTGAAGTGTGAATGTGGCATTCGAGTAAAGATACCCATAGATATAAAGAGTCAATCATCCTCTTTTCCATGGAAAGTGGCTCTTCTATAACGATGGCCTGGTCGCTTCTCCTCCTCCTCCTCCTCCTCCATCTGTATTTACATACAAACCAGATGCTGTGATTGGAATGTGCATTATATCATTCATTAGCGAATGCCCACAAGTCTAACCACCAGCTGCCATTTATGCAACTACACCCATGTATGGGATATGTGACAGGAAATGTGCAGTAGGTAAACCTTCTCATACATGGTAACACCTCCAATTCCTAAGCTTGGGAACGATTCCCTCCCTTGGAAATATTATGTACAGCAGTTTTCAGACCAACTTGCAATTTTTGTTTTGGTCCTGCGGTCTTTAAATGGGTTCAACATCAAGCAAAAAGCCTTTAGAAAAAAATCAACAGGTTGATTGATAAATACACTGAATGTTATATTGTGGAAAAAAATAAATATTTAATTAGAGAAGAGTTACAAAGTCTACAAAATATTGTACCGTCACAGGACGCATTGAGAAAGTTCCAAGAACGCCAGTGTAGGATATCCAAAGGCGCCGTCTCAGATACCACTTCACAGGCTCTGGATTGCTGCTGCAAATCTTAGGATTGGGGACACAGAGGTAAGAGTAGTAAACTTATACCCCCCACTCCCAGAATACACGGCCCACTTTGTTTTGTTGTGTGCTCTTTAAACTACAAACTACTTTGGAGCAAAGGTTAATAGGAAATATTCATCTTTTTTTTTTATTCTATGTTTTGAATGTCTTAACAGCAATGCTTAGCTGCAGTGTCATTAAAGAGCAAGATAGGAAAGCATGTCCCATCCTTTGTCCATGTTTTTTTATGTACAATTACATTGATTGTGAATTATTTTATACTTTCCAATCAGTGAAATCAGCCTAGCTGTGTTACAGGTGGTAGCTCTGAGGTTAAAGGTGAACTTAAGCCAAATGTTCTCGGTAGAGTGGAGAAGGGTTTTTATTATGGTCTGACTCAACCAGGTAGATATACTCTCACTTAATGTCCTGGAGACCACTGTCGCCAAGACCAAAAGAGAGGGAAAATGTTTCAGAAGTCACTGGCACAGGCAATGGGAATGTGGGCACTTATTTGGTGACACCGGTCAGATGTGGGATTTCCAATGGAAACCACAGTGGAGCAAAAGACATCAAACACCTGACAAAGGTTCCAAACCTCTCCCGCTGTATCCAAAACCCAATAAATTAAAGATTTACGTGGGAGACCCTTCTACATTTTAATCACTGATGACCATAGAGTTGTGGATTTATATCCCACAATTACCATTTTTGGCAAAGCCTAAAATGGTAAAGGGAAAATGGTCCGCACTACATATAGGAGACACCTGAATTTGGGATTTAACATAAAGCTATAGGAACAGTCCTGCCAGGGAAGATAAAGAATTACAAAATTAATAAAAGCTTTTCTAACCTTTTACTGCAGGCTAAAGTTCTAAGTACTTGGTGATGTGATCTCTGCCTAAGGAGAAAATCTGAGTTCTGATTGCTATTTTCCCCAGGGTCTGGGTGAAGTGCCTGGGCCTTGAGATATGTAGCCAGGACTGGAGAGAACCTGGAGCAGCATTTTTCCAAGAAAAGTTTGTATTCAAGACTAACTGATACTCCTTATCCATCTCACAGCCTTATGTCCACAATTCATTATTGTGGCCATAGGCCCACAGTCAACCATTTTAATGCTTGCTTCTCAACCCTACTGTAACAGGTACACTATCAGCAGACCAGTGGCTTTGAATTTGCAGCTCCATGTGTACCAGCCAATTATGTTACAGTACCTCTGAACCATTTTCTCCTTTTAAACAATGCACATAATTCTCCTATAGCAGATGTACAAACGAGTAATAAATGAGCTAACCAAACAATTTAAACTCTTAGCTCCAGACCAGCACCCCTAACCCATTGAGCCTTAACTTGAATTTCCACTTAAAGAAATACTAATAGTTCACAGCATGAAATATATACAGTGTGTGTGTGTTTGTGTGAGAATATATAACAAATGATGCAGTATTTTTGTGCATTATAGTCTTTAGTGCCTTGGTGCTCAACTCCGGCTCTCAATGTCCATCAACAGAGCATATTTTTCAGCTTTCTTCACAGACTGGAATAATTAGTAGTTCTCCTACACCATCTACTAGGCAATTCAGCTGTCCCTGTATCCAGTCAATGTATGGCTAATGAGGCGATAGCCAATAAGTAGTTAAATCTTGCAGTAGTAGGAATATAAAAATCAGCAGAGTAGTTTAGTACAGTAATTAATGGGCCTTGAGGATGCATCACGGCAGGGAGAAAGCTCACTTTGAGTTCTTGCAGTGATGAAGACCCATCAGTGGACTAAATTGCCCAAGTCTGCCAAACCACAAGTCAGATTTTCATAGTCCTTTAGCTGTTGGGCAACTGTAAGTGCCTGCTTCTCATGCTGGCAGTGCATGCTGGGAGTTCCTCAGCAGCCGCAAGATGTTCAGAATATAAATTGTTTTACAATAGTAGAATGCGTGGAGTGTAAATCCCCAGTTGTCATTCTCCCCCAGCAATACAAAGTCTTTTATTCCAGGGTTACAGTCTCAGCAGTGACGTGTGAACGTTACATAGATCAAACCATTGCTCAGATATGGCCCGGCGTGGCAGCACTCCGTTCTGGGGCAAGGAGGTATTAGATCTCCTGTCTCTATCGCTGAGCACTTTCCAGAAGTCCTTCCCTTTAAACAAGAAGAGGGAGTTGTGGGTGTATGAATAATATGCAGCATCCAGGTGACCCATTGGGTGGTTATTTCGTACCACTGCTGGGAAGAAGTCAACAATTCTCTTAGGGAAGTTTGGAACAGTGCGGTTTCTGTTGATGTCAAAGGCGTACACCTGTAAATGGGTTCAAAAATAATATGTTAGCTTGTTAAGATTCCTGCTCAGTGTAAAATAAAAAGAATATAAGGGGTCAGCTGAGAGTCCGTAGTGGCCAAATGTTGCTTGTCTTTGGCTTTGAAGATTTGAAGTCCTTGTTATGGGCCAAAATCTTTTTTTTCTATGTGTTCAATGATTTGTATCTGCTGTTATCTGTTCTTTAGATTATTGACTGAAAATCAGCATTTAAAAGGCAAATCAAATTTAGGAAGTAATAAAAATATCCCTTTCTTGAAATAAAGTTGCATTTTAGGGGGTTTTTATGCCTCACACAGTCATGCACGTGGCAGAAATAAAAAAAATGTGTACCATAGCCAAACAGGATTATGATAAATGTCTCCTATAACCCAAAATGAGACTCTCCAGATTGATTGCATTAAGCTGTACTGAATGTACTGGAGCGGGCACAGAACATGCCAGTTTAGAAAATGTTGGCTGATATGCTTTTCTGTAGCCTTGGAACTTCACTGTGATCACTTACAATATGTGTCTTGCATTTAAATAGGTAATGAAGTACAATATTCCTGCTATAATGGTATACCTTGATGAGACAGCATTGCTCCTTCCTTTTGAGGGCAATTGTGACTCATCAATGTGACCCTAATGTGCGCTGTGATGGGTAAGTTTTCTAAAACCACCTGCGGTAATGGGATAGGACCTGTTGTAAAGGGGATCAAGTTTATATATCGAACATTTCAAATGTTCTGATTAATGTAACACCACTATGACAACCAAGGATTACTGTACAGGGGTTGATATGAGAAACTGGCATCTGTAGGAATTCTGCATATTGCAATTATGGTCTTCTACTCTGTCTTATGCATACATGGGAGGGAGCACTACTCATATATGTAAAGGGATGCTGGGAGGAAGGGCACCAAATGACCATTTTGTTGAGAAAGTTTGCAGCGGTTTTTATGCTAAGACACTAAGAATCTTGGGCAGGGAAGAATTGAACTGGTTATCTCCAGCACCTAATGTGATTTTCATGCCAACTCTGCTAATAAACAGAATCAAGACCCACGTGGGGAAAGGTAAGCCATGTTGGCCAATGAACTGACGATCACTCTCACCTGGTAGTCCTTAAAGAACAATATGTGCTGAGTTCGTCTATCAAAATACGCAGCATTGATGGGGCTTGGAATTCCAGGAAAGTCCTCGGAGATGAGTCTCGGGTAGGTCCTTCCCTGAGCGTCCATGGCGTAGGCCTTATCATTTTCACCGTCATATCGCCAGTACTGAGTTCCTATTAATACATGAAAGAGAAAAATTGGATACTGTTCTTCAAAGCAGCCAACACGACTCCCAGTTCCTATACAACATGTCTGATAACAGATATCAAAGACTGAGGATTATGTGGACTGGGGATTTCACCATCAATTCACGGTATAACGCTCATACCTCTGATATGTAGCATGCGTTAAAGGGCCTACAGTTATGTAATAAAAAACAGGTTCTATGATGTAGCTATGGATAAAACCTACAGACACACAAAAATATCCGATATCCAGTACAGAAAAAATATGTCGTCATTTAACCCCTTAAAGTAATTTTTTAAAAAGAGAAAAATGGGGGCTGCCATTTGTGGTCTTCTTCTAGAAATGCTAGTTTTTAGCCATGATGCTGGGTCACGGACGCAGAATGAGTATACAGTAAGGGTGAAGTGGCTGTGGGCAGCACAGAAGTTTGAGGCTCCAACACTTTAAGAAGTGTTGATTTTCTGAAAGATAAGCCACAATGCTAAACATGCTTAGGCTACACAAAGTTCTGCAGAAGACAGGGCCACTGTAATTAAATATTTCATAGGTTGCACATGTGTAACTAGCAGACCTCGCCAGATGTGGTGACGGGACCTCTTTAAAGTGCACTGCACTTGTGCTCTTAACCTAAATGCCTGCTAACACAAAACAGCAGTAGTCTTCTATGCAGTAAATATACGGAAACCAAGTTGATGGAATCTGCTGGAGAGTTAAAGAATGTGACCGTTAACAAGGTCATTTGTGGCATTGTCCAGCTACTTGTGTATCATCCCTCATTTTTTTTATTTCCATCCATTAGTTCCAGACTCTTCCAGGAACATTCAGAATCCTTTGTAGGTGCAGTTTGCCTGCATTTGCATTGCTATATATGTGCCATAGTTGGGAGATCCATATAGGTTAGAGTTACGGATTGCACTTATCAGAGGTGCCTTGACATGGCAGTGTGGCTTCCACATGTATTTCTAAATGTATTGAAAGGAATAAGCGAAGAATCAACACCAGGCAGATCTTCAAAAAGTAAGTTCAATTAGCTGTCCGGGAATAAGTAGCAATTCAGGCAAGTTCAAGGAATGTGGGCTTGCTGGCTCTTTTTATAATTATCTGAACAATAGAACCATATGTGTTGCCTTGAATCATCTCCAAAAATCATATAATAATGCCACCTTGTACTTGTATTAGTCTTGAGCCAAGAACAGTAGATGGTTCTTCTTTGTCTTGTGAAGACTCCCTCATATCCAGGTTAGAGGACAGCTGTCTTGGCACTGAACCTATAGTTCCATATGCCAAGGTCAAAAAATGTGTTTATGACTTTCTGTCATTGAACTCTTGTTGCCTCGATCTACAAAACCTAAATGTCCTACATGAACTCTAGCTACCTTGACCTACAAAGTCTAAATGTTCTACATGAACTCTAGCTACCTCAAACTACGTCTACATGTTCTACATGAACTCTAGTTACCTCTATCTACAAAGCGTAAATAGCCAACATGAACTCTTGTTACCTTGACTTTCAATACTACTATACTAATAAAGGAAATGTCCAGGAACTGGAGCTATTCCCATATTATGTTGCCTGATAAAAAGATTTCCAGCACACACCATCTCTATAATGTACAATTTACTTAACCCTCCCCTTCTTCTCTTTCTTGGTTACACTGCACCACACCTACCTACTCTTTCCCCTGTCTTGGATAAAAGCATCTATGCTCCCACTCCTTTCTCCCCTTTGGATACTCCTAAGCTACCCATCAATTTATCATGCACTGAGCTACACATGTGCCATGTCTATTGAAACTTCTGACTCTACTCTACATGGCCAGGGACATAAGAGGACAAGCCATGTGCCCTGAGTGATGCAAGGCTCCCAATGTTAAGTATATATTATACATTCTATGTGATTCTTCTCTTGTAACACTGTAATACTGTAATACAAAGCCAGGAGGCTCGTGGCTCGTGACTGTACCACCATATCTATATGTCAATGTACTCAATGTGTATGATTTTCGCGAAGTTTAAAATAAAGAATATACAAACAAAATGGCTGACATACCTTTGAAGAAGTAACAGTCATCCCTGGTCCAGGTCCAGACATGTACAAAGGCATCAATATTCTGTGTGGGTATTCCTTGCCAACCAGTGGAAACCGCCAGGGGATCCCCATACCGAGTCCTGTTATTTTTGTTCTCATACATCCAGTACCAGCTATTCCGGAAGAAGTACGTGTTGTATCGGACTACCAGCTCTCCAAACTGGTTCCTCTCCTTCCTCACCCAATCAAACACCGTGTCGAAGGGTCCTTCACACGATCCTGGAAATAAACAATGGATATGAAGCTCTTATAACCAGATGAGAAAATGACATGCATCTGATTCGGTGCTAAGCTGCCATAGCTAAAGAAGAACACCACATAAAACATACTGGAAAATAAGGTACGAGAGGTGGCGGATGTCAATGCGAGATATACTGTAACCACCTTGATTAGACATGCATCCAACCTGTGTAGATGTACCTCCAATTTACATAGATATACCTTTACCTGTTGATATAACTCCATCCAAGCAGAAGACTACTGACCTATAGATCTGCATATTTGTTATGAAGCCATTGGACTAATCAGCTGGTCCAGAAGAACCAGTAAACCATTGCAACAAATGAGACTGAGATTTGAGATTGATGAGTTCTTTCCCTAAAGCAAACCTGTCATGTATGAACCATGGAGTCTGGTAATACTGACCTCTGCCTCTGGAAGTGCTAGTTGATTGGCCATCATTTTTTACTCTTTCGGTCACAGTTCACCACCAAGTATGCAGAAAGAACTTCGAACTTTCCTGATCTACATACTTGTTCCATGTCATTGATTCAGGTAATATTGACCCAGCAGGAATGTGTGACAGCCAGGCAACTAGCACTTCTCACATCTGGTTCACTTTAATAATTGAAAGCTGAACTTCACGTAAACAGCTAAATACAACTGGAATACACATATGGGAGCTGTTTTATCTGCTGAAGGATTTGTATTTTTTTCCATCCAGTCCTGAGGTTTACACAGTCCTGCCAGACAGAACAACAAGTCTGTTGATCTGACATTTTTCTACTGCAGTTATGCCACACATCAAGGTCACCTTCCTGCCCCCAGCCTGTGACTGGACAGTAAAGGAACAGCAACAGACTGACAGGGCCATATATCTTTTTTAGGGACATGCGTGTCAGGGGAGGCAGATGAGGCAGAGCCTGAACTAGTACTATGGAGGAAAAAGCTGTGAGCTTCAAATCTGAAGCTCACAGCTTTTCCTTCATTCAGATCGGCTTCAAGTAGGTTACACAGCAGGAAATTTCTCCCCGCTGTGTAACCTGTCATGGGCGGACTGCTGCCTGTTAATTACAGGCAGTGCTGCATCCGGCTTTTGACAGCTAAATTAGATTGCACAGCAGCGGGCTTCCCCACCGCTTGTGTAACCTAACTTAGTGAGACCAGAGCTGCAACAGCTCTACTTGCTGTTAGAGGCATGAGCTCTGTGGATGGCTTGGACCAATGGCAAAGCACGATGGGTCCAAGCTGTCCAATCAAAAAAAAATCAGTGAGGACATAGATCTCGATGTCTCACCGGTGACGAGCAAGTGAGGGACCGGGAGGCTCCTCCCTGTCTCCATCCTCCACACAGCTCGGTGACCGGGTTGGAGGCTGGGGGCGGGCAGGGGAAATGCCTCACCGAGAACAGACTCCACTGCATGTCACTGCTCTGTTCTCTCCTCCTGTCAGCATGTTCCTTGTCAGTCCATATAAAGACAAGACACCTGATTGGCTCTTGGTACTACCCCTTCCTCTCTGACTCTGAATGCTGCTCTAACTGGGATTACAAGGGGCTGAAACCATGTCAAATTCCTGTGCTTACACTAGTTGCATTTCAAATACATTTATTCATTTTTTTCAAATAAATAAAAATTGGTATTTTACAGCTTTAAACACAAGCGGCGTCACTGAACATAGAGACTAAGATAACAATTCTACAAGATATATTGCTTAAGAAAAACAAAACCCTCAGTGAAAAGCCATGCCTATCTCCAGTGAAACATTGCTGGTTCTGTCGCATTACATTGCGGTCACGTAGCGGCAGCAATACCCCATGCCGGGACGTGAATCTCCGGTGAATTGGACCCCTCCAGCAGCTTTAATATTTTTACATTTACATCATTATTATTAGTTACCTGCAGTCAGGAATATTACCTCGCTGCTTTTTACCGGCGGCCATATGCTGTTTTTATGAGCTAGATTTGTATTTGTATGCGTGATATTGTGATTAAGGTTACTCTTCCAAGGGTTATTTTTTTCCTTCTTATTACAGGAAGACACTCCTGGATGTGTCTCTACACTGAGAGACATTACCTCTGCGTTTCTATGGCTATGTGTTTTATATTCACTTTCCAGCCAGGCTGATTTATATTCACGTCCACGTCTATTAATGTGCCTTCGCCGGCAGATAGATAGGCTGCATTATTCCTGCACTATTGCTTTGTAAAATTGTGTGTTTTGCCTTTTGTTGCTCTTTATTTTACACCCACTACAGCAAATCAGTGTGTGGTTATGGCGAGTGAAGTGACATTTATCATCGTGAATATGAAGTTGGAGGTACGGTATCTGCTTGGCCTTCAGCGCGGGCGCTTCTTCTACCGAAGGTTCTGGGTATTATTGTTTAAGGGGAATGCACAGTCTTCCCAATAATTTTTCTTTAATGGATATGTGAAGGGAAATCAGATACGAATAATCCCATCAATGGGTTACAACATAGTTTCTATGTATAGTTTGTCATTATATGTGTACAGTACATGGGGGCAGTTATATTCAGTGGCATAGTGTGGGTGCCTAGGGCAAGGCAAGTATTGTGCCCCCTTACCCGACATGTTATGTGTGTTTGTTAGGGAGGAGGGTATTATTTTTTTTAATTATTATTATTATTACTATTACTATTATTATTATATTTTCTTTATTTTTTTTACTTTGCTGTCAGGGGCCTTTGTAAAAATATTAGGGGTGTAAACAACCCCTGATATTTCCCTTATGAAATAGAAAAAGGGATTGAGGACACACTGTCCTCCGTCTCTTTTTCTACAGCCCCAGCATTTAATGAACAGGAGCACTCAATACAGAGTCTTCCTGTTCTTTCACAAACTGAGGAGGCATAGTACTCTCCCCAGGTATAAATGGACAGGAAGCCTCTGTACTGAGTGGTCCTGTCCCTTCAGAAACTGACTAAGTGATTACTATGTCCCCCAGTCATGAATGAACAGGAAGTGATGCATAGCACTTCCTGTTCAGTCATGACTGGGGACATAGTTGTTGGAAATGCAACAGCATTATCATTGTATTACTGACTTTGTATAATGTCTTTTGAGCTGTAGATGGCGCTGTAGTGCAATGTTAGTCTCTATGCTTATGCATATTTATCATTGATACATACAGGCAGTTCTCTTTGTATGCTGTATAATGCTGTATTCTGACGCAATGTTCTGCTAAGCAAGTAAAACTTAATTCAGCATTCCTAAGATCTTCTTCTAAACACATAACCAACAATAGTACGCTTACTATGTCCTCCGTGATTTACAAACACTGAGTGATCAGTACTGATCACTGTGGTGTTTGCTCATTACACGGAAGGATCAGCGAATATTCAGCATCCTGTAGCTCTACCCGGCCCCACACAGCTCCACTCTCCATCCTGACAGCCCCACTCTGCATCCTGACTCCTGTTCAGAAGGCAGGCTCCACTTCATCAGCAAGCCACCCAGCTGCTGATGAAGTAGAGCCTGCCTTCCGAACCACAACTCAACATCTGAACAATGTAACATTATCATTGCTTGCTGGAAGCAATGCATGATGGTATATGTAGTCTTGAGAAATGGAGATAACTTCACATCAAGCAGCAGGGAAAGAGACGCAAAGCACACTGGGAATCCAGGAAGTTGATGGAAGTGATCGGCAGACGGAAGGCAGCACTCACTACATAAAAGGGATTTTTTTCAAGTAAGCTTTGATTGTATTATCAGAAACACCTCCGGTATGCATTCCTATTACAAAGCTGATGTTATAAGAGGAGAGGATATGCCGGGACTCTACAACTCCTCTGACAATTGCTGCTTGAACAATAACTTTACATCTGAATGTGCTTCTATTACATTAGAGATATACACCCCCTGGCTACTTCCTACACTGTGCTTGCAATGACTCCACGGGCTGCCTTTTTCTTTGTGGCTGCAGCAATCCCTAAGAATTATGGGAGTTTTCGGTTTTCTTAGTTTTATCGGAGACAGTTTTATTGCTTTCTTCACTCGGGGCCATTATGACCCCCTGACGCTAGAATCGGTCATGTCATTTAGCCGGCCCTGCCTGCGCATAGGCAGTCCAATATACAAACGTTACTCTGTGCGGGTTCACGTCAATCCGACTTGCATTTAAAATGAGTGTCATTGTACAATGGACATGCACAGAATGCAGATGAACCCGAAGACTTTGTGCGTGGGACGAGGAGCCTATTAGACGCCATAATCACGTGGGAAAGCACAATTTTTGAAATAACGCAGCGCCGCCGTGACTCCACTGCGTTACAGAGACATCACCCGTCGGCTTAGGGAAGAATAGAGGTCTGTACATGACACGGATCCAGCTCGAAGTCTGGGCCAGGGGCTATACTGGTCCAGACAGCCAGCACAGATCACATCTCGCTTTGTGTCAAGCGATGTTCGAGAAAGATTCCGTCCCCGGAGGCTACGAATAAAAATGTCATACCTCAACGCGAGAACTTCTAGATACAACAGTGTGCTAATTTACTGGCGGAAAGTTCAGAGCTGTGCCAGCTACATATGGGAAACGGTGCCAGCGCAGACCTGCAGCAGGACTTAGAGCACTGCACAGATTTGTTTGGGGGCTTTTATTTTTCTTGTATCTTTAAACTTCATCAGAAACATTTTTTATTTTTACAAATAAGGAAATGCAATACAGCAAAGAGAAAGAACATTTATCACCATGGCGAATAATCAGCCTATAAAAGGTTAATTCGGTGCTCAATTCCTCCAAACTAAACCAGGCATCAACTCGGATCTCTGTTCATATACTAAGAGAATAGGGTGACGTGATAATAGTTCACGTTCTCAAGACTTCTCACGTGCTTGTTATCTGGAACTCCCTTCCCCACACCATCCATCAAATGCATTGCTAAAGGGGTCTATTCAATCTCTGTGAACATTCTTGTTGTATTTTTTCTTTATAAGTAGAATTTATTTTTTCAAATGTCATCTTGGCCCACATTATGGGCACTAGATGGAGCTGAGGAGCATAGGAAATAAATACTTCTCCCCTATGCTCCTCAGCTCCATCTGGTGGCAGCAATGCAGTATTACAAGATTACATTGAAAAATACAATCAACTTATACAGAAAATATGTTCGCTTTGTAAACCCTAACAATGAACTTCTTTTATTTCCTCCCTTTTGTTCTAGTAAATATTCCATTGAAAATGTTTTGCTATATCTGTTCAATAAGAACAAATAAATACCCATTGATCCTGTCAAATATCCAGTGAACTTGTGATTTCATGTGCTCCCTGCTGCTCCTAAAACCTCAACCAATTTTATTAGGCCTGTAAAGTTAATTTCTGTGAACTACAGAAGAGCTCCTCCACTATGCTATGCAGATAAAGTGTGCTTGATCCAACAATATTATCAACCTTTCTGCCCAACGTTTGTGAAATTTAAAACAACTCCCCTCAATGTAATGAAGATGGGGAGAGGAAGAGGCGCTTGTAGTCCAATCAGCAGAGCAGCCCAGTGACAATGCTGCTCCCTCAAAGGTACAGTACACTGTGTGAGCGTTGTCACCCAAAGACAGGAAGTATGTTACTAACAGGATCACCAGGTGAATTTAAATATAGACCAGCCGTCTGCAGGGTCAGATTGTAACCCTTGCTGCACTGGTTACATTACAGCAGTGAGCAGAAGCAGGCAATGTTTTGCACATGGTGGCATTGGTTCTTACACAAATAAGGGTACCCCTGGACCCCGAGGTGATACTCTCCCCAATCTGGCTATTCTTTATTATGCCTACAGGGAGCCCGGATCTCCCCTTTATTGTTTGAAACATTGGGCGAGCTGGAAAACCTCCATCCACCACTACTGTTCCCAAGTGGGGTAAGCAGCACTTCAGGCATCCAACACCAGCTCTCTTCTCTTTCCCCTTCCCTCTCCATAGACATCATTCTTCTGAGAAGACCATCATTGTTCATGGGTTTGCTGGTCAATTCTTTTGCCCGGGGCAGCCAAATTGTGTGGGCACATCTGGTCAGGTTTCTGGCTGACCTTACAATCTAAATGCTCAATCCCTACATCCTTCTTCAGATTTACTAACACTGATGCAGTTCAAAGGCTTAATCAAAGCAACTCCTTTAGGTCCTTGCACTGCATAGCTGTTGGTAAAATTATAACGTGTGCAGGGCCGGATTTCCGACAAGGCCAACCAAGGCCCGGCCTCGGGGCAGCAGGGAGTAGAGGGGCAGCAGGTGGTGGAATTCGTATCTTCCGACACCCGGGACATGCATACTTTGGGCAAGCAGGGATAAATGTACAGCAGGGAAGCCACCGCTTGCTTTGAGGTCACCGAGATCACTTGTATGCAGCCTGCATACGGGGGGGGGGGGGGGCGGCGGGAG